AGGAAAAACCCGATGATGATGCCTCTTTTGGTCTTGGTATCTTGGTATCACTTCTATTCCAGTCAAGATACCAAGACCAAAAGAGGCATCATCATCGGGTTTTTCCTAAGAGCATACCGAATTTGTAGTCCTGAGTTTCTTGACGAGGAATGTACTTACATTCACCAAACATTCACTGAGTTACAATTTCCTTCTTTTTTCATCAAAGACTGCAAGAAAAAAGCTCTTCAGATCATCAATTCTCCACGCATCAACACCGCTCCCAACAAAGTTATAATTCTTCCCAACAGCCAGGTTGCACTAAACGTCTCAAAAGTACTTTCACAAGCTAACACCAGAGTCGCCATCGCTTCTACCACTTCAATTAAGGATCTAACCAGGACAAAACCCAAGCACCACGAACCAGTCAATGCAGGAGTTTACACTATACCCTGTGGAGGCTGTGACAAGATCTACGTAGGTGAAACAGCAAGAAACCTCGACACCCGCCTCAATGAACACATTTACGCATGTAGGAACGACAACTTAAACAACGCCACCATTACCCATGTTAACCACCATTACCCATGTTAACCACCATTACCCATCTTAACTGCCGTAACCCATGTTAACCACCATTACCGATGTTGACCACCATTACCCATGTTAACCACGACAGTGTACCGCCTACCTAGTCTTTAACACTTTCGTAGGGAGTGATTTCTGTGTACAGATTCGGGACCATTCCTAGGATTTTCCATGTGTAGATTATGATATATATCTCTCGCCTGCACTCCAAAGAGGACAAGTCAAGTGCTTCCAAGTGTTCCCAGTAACTGAGGTGTTTGATAGAACTTGTGTGTGCAGTAAAAGTTCTCTGTACACTCTCTAGATCTGCAATTTCACCTGCTTTGAACGGAGATGTTAATGAACAGCAATATTCCAGAGAACAAGTGATTTTAAAATTATCATCATAGGCATGGCATCTCTTGTTTTGAACGTTTTCGTTATCCATCCTATCATTTTCTTCGCAGCTGTGATCGTGATACTGTTGCGATCCTTGAAAGTGGGATCCTCAGACATTACCACTCCTAGGATTCTCACGTTGGGTTTTTTTTCTCTTTTTTGCATGTGTTTTCAAAACGCAAAAATCCCTTTGCGTGGGCCTTCACATTTTGCGGAGAGGGAGCATGGCACAGGGGTTTATCCCACACCGCTAAAAACAAAAGACAAGCCCCCTCCCCAAAGGGGCAATAAAAAATTGCAAAGAACTCAACTGATTGCACAAAAATCCCAATCAAAAAAAATCTTTGAGAGGGTTCTAAGAAGCAAGATAGCCAACCACCTAGATACCCATCAGTTACACAACCCAGGGCAACACGGGTTTAGAGCAGGTCACTCCTGCCTGTCCCAGCTACTGGACCATTATGACAAGGTCCTGGATGCTGTAGAGGATAAACAAAATACAGATGTAGTATACACAGACTTTGCAAAAACTTTCGACAAGTGTGACCATGGTGTAATAGCACACGAAATGCGGGATAAAAGAATAATGGGAAAAGTCGGTAGATGGATCTATAACTTCCTGACAAATAGAACACAAAGAGTATTAGTAAACAGAGTGAAGTCCCAGGCAGCCATGGTGAAAAGCTCTGTTCCACAAACTCGCTCCCATTCTATTCCTCATCCTCATTTCTGACATAGACAGAAATGTAAGCTATAGCTCCGTGTCTTCCTTTGTGGATGACACCTGGATCACCAAAGCAGTGACTTCCATCGAAGACATTGAGAGACTCCAAGCGGATATCAACCAAATCTTAGAATGGGCCACTCAAAACAATATGAAGTCCAACGAAGAGAAATTTCAACTACTCAGATATGGAAAACTTGAAGAAATTAAAAATGTGTCAGGGTATACCACAAATTCTAACCATACAATAGAGAGGAAAAGGATCTCGCCTTAAAAGACCACAACAATGTATTTACCTAATCCACTAGGAAAATGACAGGGTGGATAATGAGCACCTTCAAAACTAGGGACATCAAGCCCATGATGATTCTCTTCAAATCGCTTGTGCTCTCTAGGCTGGAATACTGCTGTACACTAACGGCCCCTACAAGGCTGGCGACATTGCAGACCTGGAGAGTGTACAAAGAACTTTCACGGCACATATAAGTGCGATAAGACACCTAAACTACTGGGAACGGTTGAAGGTCCTTGATCTGTATTCCCTTGAACGCAGGCGAGAGAGATATATAATAATATACACTTGGAAGGTCCTGGAGGGCTTTGTACCAAACCTGCACACGAAAATCACTCCATATGAAAGCAAAAGACTCGGCAGGAGATGCAACATTTCCCCAATGAAAAGCACGGGTGCCACGAGTACACTGAGAGACAGCATATATAAGGGGGATTACCAATAGACCCCTGACTGTCTTCAAGAAGGCACTGGACAGGTACCTAAAGTCAGTACCTGACCAACCGGGCTGTGGTTCGTACGTCAGCTTCTGTACTGCCAGCCGTAGCAGCCTGGTTGATCAGACCCTGATCCACCATGAGGCCTGGTCTCAGACCGGGCCGATGGGCGTTGACCCCCGAAACCCTCTCCAGGTAAACTCCAGGTACTCTGTTCTAATTTTATCTCCTCCAGTTTTCCATAACAGAGTAGTTGGAATTTGTCTTCACTGAACATCATGCTATTTTTCGTTGCCCACTGGAAAACTTGGAGGTTAACCGTGTCCTCAATAGAGGACAGTCTCATACAGATCCTAATATTGTCTGCAAAGGATAACACGGTGCTGTGGATTACATTTCTATGTTTGATACGAGGATGAGGAGCAGGATGGGGGCGAGTACTGTGCCTTGTGGAACAGAGCTTTTCACTGTGGCAGCTTTCTGAAGATCCATGTCCCCAGTTTGCCAGTTATTCCTTTAGCACGCATTTTGTGCACTATTACACCATGATCACACTTGTCAAAGGCTTTTGCAAAGTCTGTGTATATTACATCTACATCGTGTTTTTCTGCCAGTGCATCCAAGACCACATCATAATGATCCAGCAGCTGCGAGAGGCAGGAGCGACCTGCTCTGAGCTCATGTTATTTTGCCCTGGATTGTGCAGTTTTTGGGAATCCAAGTGCTTTGCAGTCATGCTTCTTAGTACTCTTTCAAAGAATTTTATAATGTGGGACGTTAGAGCTATTAGTCTACATTTTTAGCTATTACTTTGCTGCCACCTTCATGGAGTGGGGTTCTATCTGTTGATTTTAGTAACTGTGGAATTTCACCCATGTCTAAGTTCCTTCTCCAAAGTATACTTAAGGCACACGAAAGGGGTTTCTTGCAGTTCCACGAGTTTGAGCCTGGGGCTGAGTGCATGGGCATGTTGTCAATGGCTTTCTCAAAGTCTGACAGAGTTAGGGTTTGGGGATGGAGCTGGAAGGCTTTCCAGACAGTAATCAATTTTCAGTAGCTGTTCCTTGAACTGTTGTGAGGTTGCATCTGGTGGCTTATATACAACCATGATGACTAGGTTTTGGTTCTCGATCTTTACTGTTAGAACTTCAACTACATCATGTGGTGTTCAGCAACTCCGTGCAGATGAGCGACTATGACATACAGGCCAACCCCTTCCCCTCCTTGTTGCCTGTTCTTTCTGTCGCATCTAAAAATGTTTTACCCCATTTTCCATAATTTCGCTGTTAAAGTGATCTTTTGTGGGGGTCTTTGTAAGGCTGCAAACATCGCATTTGACCCTCTAGATTTTCGCTAATTGAAAAGTATTTTGTTGTTGTCAGATTGTTGAAGAACTCGGGTTTAGAATGAACACAGGCGATAACAGTAAAAGTTGAATATGAAGTAGCATTTCAACACCCCAGCAGATCTAAAGTCATCTGATACGTCCTCAGTCTGTCAAAGAAAGGGCATCTGAAGTTTTAGCATCTAGGCTAAAATAACTGGCTATAAAAAAAGGGTTAAAATAACCGCTATCGGAAAAAAGATGTTGAACTTTTTCCTTACTCAGCCTGATGAACTTGTATCTGTAAAACATCAGGAAACTTTCTTTCAAAGGGGCAGAATATCGACAAGGAGATTAAAAGGCTGTTTATAGAGAGCTCCATTAGAAGCTTGAAATGCGTCTTATTGCACTGGTAACCAATATGCGGGAACTCCAATGGGACTGATGATGACCAAGATATAAGAAAATCGTACAAACAGCGTTTTCACATGAAACAATCAGTGGTATATGAATCATCTTAATATGTTAATCTGTTATTATATAGAATAAAGTGCTAAAAACTATTATGTGATTTTACTTTTACATGATCAAAAGAATAACTTGTGATTTGTAAGTTATTCCCTTGATCAATTATTTTTTCCTCTTTACGTTTTTCCCGTGGGATACTAAATTTATCAAGAATTAGAACAATCAAGCAAAACTGACGACATATTCGGAATCAGTACCTCAAACTTTACCCTAAAATTGGTGTAATATTATTGGCCAGAGAGTGATTATTGACCATAATAATAATAATAATAATAATAATAATAATAATAATAATTACATAATACAGCTTACACAGACCTAGCTGACATCGATGACATACTATATAGAAAGTTCCTTCTTATCCAGAGCATTTTGGGCAAATTAGGTTAATTTTGTCCCCAGGAAGGGACCTGATCATGAACCGGGCTGAAGGGGCATTGATCCCTGGAATGCCCTCCAAGTAGGATGCGATTTACACAGGTTGGCTAACACCCAGGTACCTGTTTACTGCTAGGTGAACAAGGACAGCAGGTATCTTTAAGAAACACGTCCGAATGTTTCCGGGGATCAAACCACCGACCTTAGTGTGTGAGCTGAGTGCACTGCAAACCGCGCTTACGATACAGTTGATCAGGGTCTGATCAACCAGACTGCTACTACTGGCCGCACGCAATCCAGGGCATGAACCACACCCCGGCTGGTCAGGTACTGACATTATTATTTAAGTAAATACTTCATGTTTACCTGTAACTGTGGCATGACGTTCTTCATGCTGAGCTGGAACACCAGAGCTGATGATGAGTGAAGGATGGCAGGAGTGATGTCTTCCTGCACTTCATAACTCCTCAGTGAAGGTGGTGGAGTATATGGCAGCAGTGTAGGGCCAAGTATGATGATCTTCAGTGTGCGGCCTGGGTGCCTGTGCAGACATAAGGAAAGTTTTAACATTGTTTACTTGTACACCTGTTTTACAAGTGTTAGAAGTGAGTAATTGGACTTCCAGCACTGAGACACTAACTTACTGTATGAAAACAGTTACAAAGACTGACGGAACAGACACAGAATCTGTTTAGTAAGATCTTCTAGACAGACATGTAAAATTAATTTTAATCATGTTATACCAACCCTAAACTTGGAGAACGATCAAGGGAAACTTGTTGCAGAAATTACTAATATTTTACTACACAATAATGCAATACCTGTAAGTCTATGGGATTTTAATCTTAGTTAATTTCAGAATTATTTGATTGGAAATTTAAAGTAAAATAACTTCCTGGTTTTGGCTAATATAAACTGGGAGAGTGATAATAAGGAAACCGCTGTAAAGGTCCCAGATTGTCACTCTGCAGATAATTATGGGCTTAGGAGACACTGTCTAGCACTGACTGACTTTACCAGGCTAGTAATTCTATCAACGAAAATTTTGCAAACACTAACGAAGCGAATTACAGAAACATTTTTTCTAAATAATGTACAAGCTACCAAAAAAAAAATCATAAATATTTCCACAGAAATTAAATCAAGTAAAAATGATTCCAAATGGAAGAAGAGACTAAAAGATCTCTTGTGAGAGAAGAAGAGTTTAGAGGAGAATCTAAAGACGAGGATCACCTCATGAACCATTATGTTTGTATTATATGTAATAAAAAAATAATAGTAAAGGTTAGGTGACCTGAAAAATAAATATTTTCATCCCCCACCATCACTGTCTTCCCAGAGCAGAGCTGACACTGTAACTTACAAGTTCCTACACAGAAGAAGTATCCCCACCCATCCTTCAGTGTATCCTCCACACTGAAGTATCCCCACCCATCCTTCAGTGTATCCTCCAAACTGAAGTATCCCCACCCATCCTTCAGTGTCCTCCACACTGAAGTATCCCCACCAATCCTTGACAGGGTCCTCCACACTAAAGTATCCCCTCATCCATCCTTCAGAGTATCCTCCACACTGAAGTATCCCCACCCATCCTTCAGTGTCTCTTCCACACTGAGGTATCCCTATCCATCCTTCAGTGTCCTCCAAACTGAAGTATCCCAACCATCCTTAAGAGTGTCATCCACACTGAAGTATCCCCCATCCATCCTTCAGAGTGTCCTCCACACTGAAGTATCCCTATCCATCCTTCAGAGTGTCTTCCACACAGAGGTATCCCCATCCATGCATCAGAGTGTCCTTCACACTGAAGTATCCCCATCCATCCTTCAGAGTGTCCTCCACACTGAAGTATCCCTATCCATCCTTCAGAGTGTCTTCCACACAGAGGTACCCCATCCATGCATCAGAGTGTCCTCCACACAGAAGTATCCCCACCCATCCTTCAGAGTGTCCTCCACACTGAAGTATCCCCACCCATCCTTCAGAGTGTCTTCCATACTGAAGTATCCCCACCCATCCTTCAGTGTCCTCCACACTGAAGTATCCCCACCCATCCTTCACAGTGTCCTCCACAATGGGAAATATCCCCCCCATCCTTCCAGTGTCCTCCACACTGAAGTATCCCCACCCATCCCTTTACAGTGTCCTCCACACTGAAGTATCCCCACCCATCCTTCACAGTGTCCTCCACAATGAAGTATCCCCACCCATCCTTCACAGTGTCCTCCACACTGAAGTATCCCCACCCATCCTTCAGTGTCCTCCACACTGAAATATCCCCACGCATCCTTCAGTGTCCTCCACACTGAAGTATACCCCCACCCATCCTTCAGAGTGTCCTTCACACTGAAGTATCCCCACTCATCCTTCACAGTGTCCTCCACACTAAAGTATCCCACCCATCCTTCAGAGAGTATGTGCTACTTTCTACCTCCAGGATTCAAATCCCTGTAATTGGTTTCTTTGAATCCCTTCACAAAAGTTATAATTTGTTGCAAGAAAATCTGAGGTAATGTCTACGAGGAATGTTGTGATCTAGTGGAAAGTTAGGTGATATATAACATATATGTTCTTCTGGAAAGTTAGGTGATATATAACATATATGTTCTTCTGGAAAGTTAGGTGATATATAACATATATGTTCTTCTGGAAAGTTAGGTGATTATAACATATATGTTCTTTCTGGAAAGTTAGGTGATATATAACATATATTGTTCTTCTGGAAAGTTAGGTGATATATAACTATATGTTCTTCTGGAAGTTAGTTGATTTCATAAAAGTTATATGTTCTTCTGGAAAGTTAGGTGATATATAACATATATGTTCTTCTGGAAAGTTAGGTGATATATAACATATATGTTCTTCTGGAAAGTTAGGTGATATATAACATATATGTTCTTCTGGAAAGTTAGGTGATATATAACATATATGTTCTGGAAAGGCAACTAACAATATTGTGATACTTAGAAAGTATTCATTTGTTTGTGGATCATCCTGCCCAAGTAGGAAGATGTTGTTATTTAAAATTAGTGTTTGAGAGTGTGATATTGACAAACAGCATTACACAGATGTAATGTGTTGTGGTAACATAGTAAAACATTGATGTTTGAATTTTCTCTTTATAAAAAAATCATGAAATACAACTGAAAGTTAATTATTTTAATATTTTGTGATCTTATATTTCCCACAAAAACTGAGAAAGCTTAATTGTTATGTATAGATGTATTTTTAAAATTCATTATCAATGAAAATATTATGGGATTAAGTTTTGGTTAATTGATTTCAAAAGTGTTCATAACATAACTAATAAAATAAATGTTTACCTGCATTCTTGGCATGACATTTGTTCATGTAGGGCTCCAGCGCTTGGGCTGATGATGAGGAATGAAATACTGGAGGTGGTGTCTTCCTGTACTTCATACATCTTTGGTGATGGTGGTGAGGTATGTGGTTACAGTGTGCAGAGAACAGTTGTAACTTCCTGCAGGGTGGCCTGGGTGCCAGTGTGGCTTGGTGCCAGTGTGGCCTGGGTGCCAGTGTGGCCTGGGTGCCAGCATGGCCTGGGTGCCAGTGTGGCCTGGGTGCCAGTGTGACCTGGGTGCCAGTGTGGCCTGGGTGCCAGTGTAACCTGGGTGCCAGTGTGGCCTGGGTGCCAGTGTGACCTGGGTGCCAGTGTGGCCTGGGTGCCTGCAAGGACAAGAGGAATGATTTGAAAAACTAAGTTTATGGCGAGACAAAAAAAAAAAAAACAGTATTTTCAAATACTGAGATCTTTAGTCTTTATAAAACCAATAAAACCTTTAAATTACTAGGAATGCCTCAAGAGTCGAAAAATGTACTCAGTGGAGCACATTAGAGAGATACATGATATTATATACTTGGTGAAAGATACATGAGAAAAGGTAAAATAAAACCAGTGTTTAAAATTAGGGGTACCATGAGCACAATCAGAAATCCTTGTATCAACATCCATGGGTCAAGATTATTCAACATTAACTCTCGACAAGTACCTCTATCAAGTGGCATATGACTCAGACTTTGAAGGTCAGAGGCCTGATAGCAGCAACAGGTTGGTTTATCAAATAAGTACTGGACAAACCTGGCTCTTGGCCACGCTGCAGCAGTTAAATCTGCCACATATAAGATAAAAAGTGGAAAATGTATGGTAGATGCAATGCCATGGGGATTTACATTTATGTTAGAAGTTGTAAATATCGACATCAAAAATGTTAGCTTGATTATGTCCAGGTATTTTGACCCAGTAATATGGCGAGCATCATTAGTTGCCAGGAAATGTTATGACATCAGGAGGATATAATGATAATACGTACCAAGAGACTAAAGACATGGGAAACAGTAAATATTTAAAAGGAAGAGATATACTAAAAAATCACAAAAATACATGGAAGGAAAAGTCATATGACAACGCAAGACAGAAAACCAGTACACACCAACCTCAAACATACAACACAGGACACCGCAACACAGACACCCAGCTTCACACACCAGGGCCAAACTTACAACACAAGGCAATGCAACACTGCAAAGAAAATGATAGGATGGACAATGAGAACGTTCAAAACGAGAGATGCCAAGCCACTGATGATCCTTTTCAAATCACTTGTTCTCTCTAGGCTGGAGTACTGCTGTACATTAACATCTCCGTTCAAAGCAGGTGAAATTGCAGATCTAAGTTTCATCAAGCACCTCAACTACTGGGAACACTTGGAAGCACTTGACTTGTACTCGTTGGAACGCAGGAGAGAGAGAGAATATCTAATCTAACTTGGAAAATCCCGGAAAGGAATGGTCCCGAATGTGCACACAGAAATCACTCCCTACGAAAGAAAAAAACTTGGCAGGCGATGCAAAATACCCCCAATTAAAAGTAGGGGCGCCATTGGTACACTAAGTGAAAACACGATAAGTGTCCGGGGCCCAAGACTGTTCAACAGCCTCCCACCAAGCAAAAGGGGAATTACCAATAGGTCCCTGGCTGCCTTCAAGAGGGAACTGGACAGATACTTAAAGTCAGTGCCGGATCAGCCGGACTGTGGTTCGTACGTTGGACTACGTGCGGCCAGCAGTAACAGGCTGGTTGATCAGGCCCTGATCCACCGGGAGGCCTGGTCGTGGACCGGGCCGCGGGGGCGTTGATCCCCTGAATACCCTCCAGGAAGACTCCAGGTAACACAGAAAAACCAGTACTTCACACACCAGGGCCAAACATACAACACAAGACAATACAACACATAAAAACCAGTACTTCACACACCAGAGCCAAACATACAACACAAGACAATGCAACACATAAAAACCAGTACTTCACACACCAGAGCCAAACATACAACACAAGACAATGCAACACATAAAAAAACCAGTACTTCAACACACCAGAGCCAAACAAAACAACACAAGACAATACAACACATAAAAACCAGTACTTCACACACCAGAGCCAAACATACAACACAAGGCAATGCAACACAAAAAAAACAGTACTTCACACACCAGAGCCAAACATACAACACAAACAATACAACACATAAAAACCAGTTACTTCACACCCCGGGGCCCAAAAACATACAACACAACAATGCAACACATAAAAACCAGTACTTCACACCCCAAAGGGCCAAACATACAACACAAGACAATACAACACATAAAAACCATTACTTCACACCACCCGAGCCAAACATACAACACAAGACAATACAACACAAAAAACCAGTACTTCACACACCAGAGCCAAACATACAACACAAGACAATGCAACACATAAAAACCAGTACTTCACACACCAGGGCCAAACATACAACACAAGACAATGCAACACATAAAAACCAGTACTTCACACTCCAGGGCCAAACATACAACACAAGACAATGCAACACATACAAACCAGTACTTCACACCCCAGGGCCAAACATACAACACAAGACAATACAACACATAAAAACCAGTACTTCACACACCAGGGCCAAACATACAACACAAGACAATACAACACATAAAAACCAGTACTTCACACACCAGAGCCAAACATACAACACAAGACAATGCAACACATACAAACCAGTACTTCACACTCCAGGGCCAAACATACAACACAAGACAATGCAACACATAAAAACCATACTTCACAACACCAAGCCAAAAACATACAACACAAGACAATACAACACATAAAAACCAGTACTTCACACTCCAAGCCAAACATACAACACAATCAATGCAACCCCATAAAAACCCAGTACTTCACACTCCAGGGCCAAACATACAACACAAGACAATACAACACATAAAAACCAGTACTTCACACACCAGAGCCAAACATACAACACAAGACAATACAACACATAAAAACCAGTACTTCACACACCAGGGCCAAACATACATCAGGCTTTATTACAGGTTGTACTGGAAGGACCAGGAGTATGCACACCAAGAACCATGTTACAATATGACAGTGTTAGTGGTACTTACAAAACCCACACAAGACCCAAATATCCCAAATGGAAACTCCCCAGTAAAAGTAGGAGTAATAAAAATAAGATAGATGAACAAAGATTAAACGCATGTTTATCTGGAGAGAGTTCCGGGGGTCAACGCCCCCGCGGCCCGGTCTGTGACCAGGCCTCCTTAGGTCAGTGTCCCAGGATGCGACCCACACCAGTCGACTAACACCCAGGTACCCATTTTACTGATGGGGAACATAGACAACAGGTGGAAAGAAACACGTCCAATGTTTCTACTCTGGCTGGGAATCGAACCCAGACCCTCACCGTGTGAAGCGAGAGCGTTAACCACCAGGCCACCAGAGCCTGTGCAGGAATCATAAATATTATTGCAATATTGGAGACAAGGTACAATTTAAAAGATAATGAAGCGCTAGATGAATAAAATATAAATTATTATACTCCGATAGAATCAAGAGGAAAGTTGATGGAGTGATAATGTAAGTCAGGAAACATTTAAAACGTTAGGTAAAAGAAGACAAGTGCAACTAATGTGACATTTTATTGTGGCTTGATAAAGCTCCTAGAGAGAGAAATATTGCCACAATAAAATGTCACATTAGTTGCACTTGTGTCCTCTTACCTAACATACTGCTGGTAATTCTATCAACATTAATACAATATTTAAACTGTTGCATAGACAAGATATAGAAGCTGAAGAGATGCACAATGAATGCCTTTAGATGCACTTTCTCATGGGAGGTCAAAAGATGATTTTGGATGCGATCTAAGTTGCTAAGGCTGGAATTACCAAGGCATGTAGATACAACTTTAGCCAAACTGATTGGAAAAACCTGCCATAAAAGCTTTATTTTTTTAACAGTCTGTGACAGGCGAGTAGAGGAAATAATTACCTAAAACTTTGTTCTGGTAAACAACGAATCTTGAGGTTAATGAAGAAATTGGAGAAAGCTAACTCCAATTACTCAATTTCTGATACATGGGATCAACTTTGTCATCCTCCTTTGTACGTTTTCCAGAGTATTTATATCCATTCTGTAATGCGGTGACCAGAACTGTGCAGCATAATCTAAATGAGGCGTAACCAAGGACACATAGAGTTGAAGAACAACCTGAGGACTCCTAATATATATGCTTCTTGATATAAAGCCAAAGATTCTGTTAGCTTTATTGCAAACACTTATACACTGTTGTCTTGGTTTTAGATTACTACTAACCAGAACTCACAAATACTTTTCGCGATCAGTAATATAAGATCTACATTATTTAGTTTATATATGATATGGTTATTTTCCTGTCCAATATTTAGAACTTTGCATTTGCCTATGTTAAACTGCATCCACCACTTCTCCGGCCACTGCATCAGTCTATTCAAATCTTCCTGGAGTGCTCTAATGTCCTCGTCAGAATGAATTCGACGGCCTATTTTGGTGTCATCGGCAAACTTGCTGATGTCGCTCTTTATGCTCTCATCAGTGTCGTTTATGTAGATTGTGAACAACAGGGGGCCCAACACTGACCCCTGTGGAGCACCGCTCGTGACGCTTCCCCACTCTGATTTCTCCCCATTTATGCAAACCCTCTTCTGCCTATTTGTCAACCATGCCTTTATCAGGAAAAAAATTCTCCTCCTATTCCAAGTGCCTTAAATTTCCTCTATAGTCTCTGATATGGGACCCTGTCAAAAGCCTTACTGAAGTCCATATATACACTATCATATTCATTACCATGATCTACCTCCTCAAATACCTTAGTGAAAAAAGTTAATAAATTCGTAAGGCAGGAACGCCCCTTTGTAAAACCATGCTGAGATTCGTTGATTAATTTGTGCTTTTCAAGGTGGCTACGAACTGCCTCGGCAATTATTAATTCCATAAATTTTCCCACTATGGAGGTTAGGCTTATTGGTCTATAGTTCGAAGCTAAGGACCTGTCACCTGCTTTGAAAATAGGTATCACATTTGCCATTTTCCACTTCTCTGGCACCATGCCAGTCTGTAGTGATATATTGAAAAGATTAGCGAGAGGTTTGCTAAGCTCCTCTTTACATTCCTTTAGAACCCTTGCATACAGTTCATCAGGGCCTGGAGTTTACCTGGAGAGAGTTCCGGGGGTCAACGCCCCCGCGGCCCGGTCTGTGACCAGGCCTCCTTAGGTCAGTGTCCCAGGATGCGACCCACCCCAGTCGACTAACACCCAGGTACCCATTTTACTGATGGGGAACATAGACAACAGGTTGAAAGAAACACGTTCAATGTTTCTACTCTGGCTGGGAATCGAAACCAGGCCCTCACCGTGTGAAGCGAGAGCGTTAACCACCAGGCCACCAGAGCCTAGGGATTTGTTAGGTTTTAATTTATCAATTTGCCTAAGAACCATGTCACTTGTGACCCTAATCGTGCATAGTTTATTATCATCCTGTTCTACATAATTTATTATTTCTGGAATATCGCTAGTATCTTCCTGTGTAAAAACTGAAAGGAAGTATGTGTTAAAAATTCTACACATTTCCTTATCACTGTCCGTGAGCTGACCCGAGGAACTTTTGAGTGGGCCTATCTTGTCCCTGATCTTCCTTCTCTATACCTGAAAGAATCCTTTTGGGTTAGTCTTCGATTCTCTTGCAACTTAACCTCATAATCTCTTTT